CACACACACACACACGCGCCCGGTGTGAGTTTTAAGCCACCGGGTCCGGGACGTGAACCGCAGTCAGCTACGTGGGAGTCCAGCGACATAGCCATTACGCTAACTGCTGGTGCCACATGCCCACAGACTTGAAAGGAGAATGGAGGCGAAGGGATTGGGTGCGGCCATCCTCCGGGTGATCTCTCGCTTTCCCTCTCTCTCTTTAGAGTACACGTGCCTGTCATTTCAGAGCTCCATCCCGGGCTTATTTGATTTGACTGAGAATAAAGGTCAGGGTCAACACTTGATTTATTCTGTGCTTCCTGTGTCTAATATCAGTACATGGATGAAGATGTTTTGCTAAGGTAAACTTTTAACTTAAAGATAACCCCCTACACTTAGTAAGAATACACGACCTTCAATACTGGCGTTTTCTGGAGTCCTAAAGGTAATTCCGAATGGTAAGGCTGAGATGTGTACATTTCCCTGTCTGCTCAATTAAGAAGCCACACATGTTTACATTTCGATATCTTAGTGGGTTAGTCAAGATCTAACAACCTGGAGGTGAGAAGGGCCCGATGAAGCCTTGATGTATATATTGACACACTGGGGGATGAAGGAGAGGCATAAATACTTGTTAGTGACAGGATTTTCCCAATTAGACCCTATGGAGACTGAGACTCAGTAAGTACCAAGCATGGGAAATGCCCGCGTGTATCGTTAATAACTGCGAAAATCAGATTGCAAAATGGCATGTAGAATGCAATTCTAATTTTTGTATTAAAAACCCTGGAAGCATGTTCCTTTATTCACTGCCATATTTACTAGCATCTATCTTGTGTCAGGGCCAAGCTGGGCAGGTATTGTGCAGGGTGAGCAAGACACCCATGCCCTGTCCTCCTGGGGTTATGTGCTAACGGTTAAGGACGACACAGCTTTTATCGCTGCTTGTTGGGATCACAGAAAAGTGTTAATTAAAAACATTTACTCATCTGGGGCCAGCAGGTGGCGCAGTGGTTAAGGCACTGGAATCCCACATGGTGGACCACAGCTGGAGTCCTGGACCCGGTTGACTGAAAATCACACTGACACGTGTGCGTGTGTGTCCCAAATCCTGAGACGAAGATGGAGAAGAAGGGGTTGCACTGGGTGATTTCTCGTTTTCTCTCTCTCTCTTTCTGGCAATGACACATGCCCTATGGCAAAAATCTTAAAAACAAGTTGCTCACCTGTACTTTCCTATGTGCTTAGAATGAACCTTTTTCTCTTTTTTTTGGCATCTCATTAGAGAAGAAGACTTGACGTATGATGTGGAGGATCCTTCATCTCTTGCCCTGTCTCACCCTCTGCTTCCCTCCACAGGGGTCATTGCCATCGTGGATTTCGAAGATATTTTCTCATGAAATACATATCTGGGCTTATGTGTTTTAAACAACTGTGTAAATGATATCATACTATACATACAGTTCTCAAAAAATTGTATTCAACATTATGTTTTTCCAGGTCTATGCTTTTTTTTTTTTTTTTTGAGAGAGAGATCTTCGCTATAAGGCACATGTACTTGCCAGAGAGACAGAGAGAGACAGAGAGACAGAAAGTGAGAAATCACCCTCCAACCACGTGCAATACCTTCTCCTCCATTCTCCTCTTGGGATCATGGGCATGCATGCACACACACCCAGTGTGTTTTAAGCCTCTGGGTCTAGCATTCAAACCACGGTAGATAGACTACGTGGGAGACCAGTGACATAACCATTTCGTCATCTGCTGGTCCCTCGAGGTCTATACATTTCAATATACAAAAATACAGTTCATTCTTTTAAGAAAAAACAAAATTATTTATTTATTTATTTGTTTGTTATTATTTAATTTGACCAGAGAGAGACCGTGAGAGAGAGAAAGGAAAAGTGAGAAAGCAAGCTCCTAGGTCTGGGACTTGAACTGCGGTCAGTCATGTGAGACTCCAGGGCCCCAACCACCATGCCACCTGCCGGTGCCAGTTCACTCTTTTTTTCGGACAGGTTTTCACTATAGGTAGGGCGTGTGCGCTCGCCAGACAGACAGAAGAGACATAGAGACAGAAAGTGAGAAATCACCCCCCAGGGGGGATGGCCACGCCACAATCCCTTCTCCTCCATTCTCCTCTCGGGATCTTGGGCACGCACGCACACGTGCCCGGCGTGAGTTGTAAGCCACCGGGTCCGGGACACGAACCGTGTTCGACTACGTGGGAGTCCAGCGACATAGCCATTACGCTAACTGCTGGTTCCCCCAGTTCATTCATATTTAACTACCTATTTATTAATTCGACTTTATAAATGACCAGACCACACAGTTTGCTATCCTAATGAACATGCAGATATTTCCAAATACAGTTAATTTTGCGACGGGCATCTTTGTACATGTCATACGTGGAACCTCTGCTTTCCATGTCATCAGCACGTGTCCTTGCTTCACCCGAGAACACCGGCCCGCCTGTCCACTGAAGGGGCTTTTACCCTCGCCCAATTTCTGAATCCGGCTGTGTGGAAAGATCCAGCTTGCGACCGCCATCTCGTGGCAGCAATGTGCAAACGCAGTGGCTCGGCACATACTGAAACCAGGTGGCTCCCAGTCGGGTCCAACCTCACTTGAAAGCAAGAGATCCTGACCTCTGTGACTGGACCCCAGACCCTGAATAAGCTCCCGGAACTCGAAATAGAGAGCTCCATGTAGGGACTCACAGCCCGGCCGTTCCATCTACACTTCTCTGGCCCTCGCCACCTCCCCTACTCTGTCCTCTGAGGCGCTGCTCCAAGACCAGACTGGACGCAGTTACTGGCCCGCTGCGTTCGCTTTCTCAGTGTCTCAGACGACACAGCTGGGCCTCCTCCTTCAGAGGGTCACCAGCCTCTCTCCTCCCCTCCACCCTGGCTCAGTAAATGCCAGCCAGACTGATTCTCCTGAACGCCCCTTCGCTAATCAGAACGCCTGTGCCGGAAGGGTGACTAGCCTTCCCCTCGGAGGTCACAGGCCGGGGGAGCGGGGCAGCACTCACGTCCCTCGGGACATTTGTCTCCAGGAGCAAAGCAATGACTTGGGCAAGGTGACCCAAAGGTCAGGTCGTGGGTTCCACGTCAGCACAAGCCTCCAGCCCTTCAACAGCGACACTGGGGCTAACCCGTATTCCCAGTGCATAGCTCACGCATCACCAGCAATTAAATTCTGTCCTCAGACCAGTCCCCTCCACGCCCGACACCCTCCACACCTGGCATACTCTATTAAAAGAAAAAAGAAAATCAAAACCAAAAAGAAACTCCCAATTTTAAAGCCAGCTGGAATGTTCATATGAGAGAGGCAAATTCAATTTCACATTGACCTTGAATTAATTAGGATGACAAATTGAATATTGGAGTTAAAAGCACAACTGGTCTAGTCTCTGTAAAACAGTAAATTTTTTTGCTTTTTACCATCCCTGAGCAATTTCTCATTCCACATTTCTGGATTTTAATTCATTACTCAAATGTTAATAGTGGCGACCCCTGTGATTCCTGCCCCCATGTTTTCATCTCTGCCGTTCCTAACTGATCCTTGGGATTGCACAATAGGTCAGTGGAGGAGGAAGTGGGGAGTCGGTGCGCCGCAGCTGCTTGGCCAAGGGTGTGCCAGCAGGCTTGGGCAGGCGGCTGTTTGCAGGATGGGCGTGAAGGTCCCTCTCCCGAGGGGCTGCAGAGACTTACCGAAGCCCACGGGCAGTGCTACTTTCCAGGAGCAGTCCATGTTACTGGGGTAGTTGCCCGGGAAGCCAGGGCTCAGGATCACCCCCTCCATCTCCTCCACTGCTCCCCCACACTGCGCTGTGACAATGAGATGAGACCGAGGGTTAGGACCACGCCTGGCACCCACGTGGCCACGCTGATGGGTGGTGGCCCCCTCAAAGCAGCACTTTATTTTTTTTTAAGTTTTTGCCAGAGGGTGCATGTGCTCCCTAGAGACTGACAGAGATAGGAACAGAGAGAGGGAAAATGAGAAATTACCCGCCAGGGGGGATGGCCACACCACAATCCCTTTTCCTTCATTCTCCTCCTGGGATCTTGAGCACCCAGTGTGAGTTTCAAGCCACAAGCGCCAGGACTCGAACCATGGTCAACCATGTGGGAGTCAGCGCCTTAACCATTAAGCCATCTGCTGGCCCCGAGCAGCAGTTTTTAACCCTCCCCAAGTCACAAAGCCCTTAGAAAATCCCAAAGAAGCTCCCCAGACATCTGCAGGCAGGCAGCATGGAGTGTGATTCAGGAAGTGCCCACCCAGCACTGCCTGAGGGTCCACACTCCAGGCTACGGCGCTTGACCCAAGCAGGCCTGTCACAGGTCGGTCTCCTCTGTGACGACACCCAGGGAAAGTGGAAAGGGTCTGCTCCAGAGAAGTCTGACTGTTTCTCACACGCTCCCCGAGCCTCCCTCTCCTCACCTCCCGACCGACTCCTCCAGGGCTGAGAGGGAGGACGAAGGAGGGGCTGGCACGCGTGTGTGCCACTCTGCGCCAGGCTCTTACCAACGTACGTCCCACAGGTGGGAGGCGGGAGTGGCCCTCAGAGAGGTGACTGTGACTGCACTTTCTGGGAGCCACCCTGAGCCGTATGGCACGAGCCACCCGGGGAGGAGATGCCTGATGCAGAGTCCCGGAGGATGCAGGGCTGGGCACCCTGTGGCCTGCTCAGTGGACCTCACTTGCTTTCACATCTTGTTAAGAAGAGGAGAGCAGAAAGGGCCTGTCCCAGAGGCCTAAGCGGAGCGGGCTCCTGGCCTGGACAGCCTGGGCCGCAATCTGAGTTTCACGCCCCGTGACCTCTGGGCAGGTCAACCGTGAACCTGTTTCTCCAATGCAGAACGGAGCACTGAGAGCACGGGTTGCTCCGAGGTTTCCTTAGGGAGGACTGCCCTTGGCACGGGGCTGGCACAGCAGAGAACGCTCGCCCACGGCAGCTGCTGTGGTAGGGACAGTCTTGAAGGCCTCCCTAGTATAAGGCAGGGGACGTGCCTCGGCTGACCGTCACATCTCTGCCCTGCTCTGCAGAAGGCCAGGCCTGCACCCTGGGGAACTCACAGGAGGGAAGTGCCGTGATACCCAGGGGTGGCCCTCAGCTCCTCCCTCTCCCTTCCTACTCCCAGGTCAGCCTTGAGAGCATCAGAGAACCTTCCATTCCTGACTCGACCACCTTCTTAACCCAGAAGACTCAGCTTCCCCGCTGCAGACTGAGGTAACGCCACCTGGCCGAGGAGCTGCTGTGCAGAGCCCCGGGCCCTGCCCAGGGCTCGGAGGACACGCAGAGCACTTCCGTTTTCTTCTGGCCCAGTCTGACCGCTCCCGAGGGTGGAGACCTCGTCTCTCCTTGCATCTCTGATCTCACTGCTTAGCATGGTGAGAATGGAAACCAAGCAGGGCCCATCTCACGGGTAACCCTCGCGAGGACGTCCCAAACCTAGGTGCCCAGCTGTCCCGCCTGGGTCTGCTGACCATCTGGAACCAGAATGTTCTAGTGGGCAGCCCTGCCGTAATTCCTCACTTGGCGGGCAGAGCTTTCCCGGAGTCACGGCGGCCCTGGAGGAGATTACAGAAGCAGCGGACTAGAACGACTGGCTTGCAACAAACCCACGATGTCAAGCTTGCTTCTGATTTGAACTTGAACGCAGCGGTAGGGCACTGAGCTCCAATCCCTAAGGGATGGAGTGGGATGCAGTGGACGGTCCAGGCTCTCTTACCAATGCAGAGTGGAGGAGGGTAGTTCCAGCGCCGCACGGTTCCAGGCATGCACGAGATGTGGGCGTGGCCCTGGAGAAGGCAGGAACAGGGGTGAGTGAGCAGCCCCAGGAACTGTCCCCGACACAACTGTATGTGTGACCCAGAGTGGGGAGCTGGCTCGGGGCTTGGTGCTGAGGAATAAGTTATCCGAGACACATGGATGCACAGTGGGATGGGCTGAGGCAGAGGGACAGAGAGTTCTGGGAGGACAACTTCTAACCACCATCGCTAAAGAATTCTCTTTGGTAAAGGTTTCCGGTGCGAGTCCTTTAATTACTAAATTCCTGCATAGCATTCAAGAGAAAACTGGACTTCCTGAAGTCCAGCCCGGCCTAGCTCTGCAGGAGAACACTCGAACACTCGTTAAACTCAGCCGACTTTGTCTTTTGGACGAACAGCTCAGGAGGGGCTGATGTCCCCGGGAGAGCCGGAATTGCTTCCTGTTCTCTGGTGGCTGCAGCTCTGCTAGTGCAAAGCTGGTCAGTCACACTTCAGGGGACCCTGCCTGCTGCCCGGGGTGTCAGCGGGAGGTACCTGGAGGGCATATCCCGGCTCGCACTGGAAGGAGACCACATCATTGACCAGGTAGCGCTCGCCGGTCTTCACCCCGTTGCTGGGCACGGCAGGTTCAGGACAGCTGCTCAGGCCCACCGCTAGACAGGACAGAGGCAGACGGACAGGAGAATGGGCGGGCCGCAGCAGAGCCACAGGGCGCTGGGGGCGTGGCGGCAGCAGGAGCAGGGGTGCCTCCAGTCTGTGCTCGCCCTGTGGCCACGCTGGTGCTTCCCGGCCCTTCTCTCCGGCAGCACAGTCTGGGGGTCCGGAGGGGACTGAGGCTTGACACATCGAAGCTCCCCGGGATGGGCCTGGCTACCCTGCCCACCCTCTGAGCTAGGATCCAGGGAGCTTCCAGCTCGGGCTGTGCACCCTCAGACTCGGCACTAGCTCCTCTCTCATGGCTCCTGCCTCCTCCTCTTCTCGACTCCCTTCTGTCCCCCCTTACCTACGATGGCAACTCCTGCAGGCTAAGCTACTGTGAAGCGGGCAGAGAGGGGGAGAGGGGTCTGGCCAGCAACGCAGTCGTTCCGGGCTGTGCGTGGGGAGTCAGAGCCCACCCAGCCATCCGACTTCCGGCCTGGGAGCTTGAGAACCAAGCTGGGGGCATGTGTGTGCGCCTCAAATCAGACGGGATGAAGACATGAAGGAAGGACTGTGATGTGACCACCTGCTGGGGGCTTTGTCTGTGTGTTCCCCTCTCTGGTGAGTGCACACGCCTTCTGGTGATTAAAGAGAAAAAACGAGGACAAGAAGCAGGGAGAGCAGGGGGTCACGTGCTGTGGGGGCCAGCTGGAGCCCCCCGAGACTCGCTGTCCTGAGGAGTTTGCCGCAGAAGAGATTCCCACTGCCTTATTTCTCCTGCCGTGTTCCAAGGTCAGGCCAGCTCCTCTCTGGTGGACCGAGCAATCCCAATCCCAGGGGTCCTCACCCTGGACCCCATAACTGCCTCCTCCTTGTCCTTTACCCCGAGTCACTGCTGTCCTGGTCTACCCCGCTTGCGAGGCAACTTAGGTTTCTTAAAACTCACTCATGGGCCATCCTTGGTCAACAGTTTGAAACAGGCGCCCATCAGCGACTACACGGACTCCAGCCTCTCGTCTGGCATTCTGGAACCTTCAGGATCTTGCCCCCTTTCCAAATCACCTCCCCGGCTCTCCAATGCTCCATCGAGCTCCGCTGCGGCTCTTCTTTTTGTATTTTTTTTTTTTTTTTTTTTTTTTGTGTTT